CAGTTTATCACTCCCTCAGTTATATAAAAAGTCCCTCAAACAATTTTTTGGGTTGACTTTTACAGTATGATGAAGATATCAGATCTTACAGGATCACCTGGACTTCTTCTGACAACAGTTTTGGCATAGCCTTAAAAGAAGAAGTGAATTTCAGTAGCAAAAATTACCTTTTTTCATTGGGGAACAAAAATAGACCATCTCTCTGTGTCACCCAGGCTGGAAGTATAGTAGTGATTTGTGAGCCCATGGCAATACTGATTCCTTTATCCTGTTCAGTTTCTGACCTGGGAACGGTTTGACCCTCCATAGGGCAACCAGCTAGACACTCCCCACCGCCTTCCCCCAGTTGACTCCCTGAGTCTCACCATATTGATGGTGGACTTAGTATGGATAGCTGATCAGCTTAGCCTACTGAAGTTTAGAGCTCCTAAGGTTAAGAGAGCCACCAGCCTCAACCTTCCCTATGGCTGAGTTTATAGGGGTGTACCACTGTCCCAGATCTTTTTTCCTATCTTCAGTACAAAAGATTTTGTATTATCTTGCTTGTGACAAGAGTTTTTTTATTCATAGAAAAGATAAGCAGCTGTCTTAAAAACAGTCTTCTTGTTCTTCTTCCAGCTTAAGAAGCCTGGGCCATGCTGTAGAGGAATCAATAGCAATTCCTCCAGCAGTCAGGTCTCTTTGAAGGTCTTAGCTTGCCCTACTTGGTAATTAGATAATACACAAATGAGATAATGTAGATAAAGCATTTTGTACTGGAATGCAGTCTGCCAGAAATTAGATTAATTTTTTATACTGCATTCCATAATAAATTTAACATAGGTATGACCTGAATATTAAAGATCATACCATTTAAAAATTTAAAAAGCAGACCATATACCTTTTACAGCTGTGGGTAGGAGATGTAGTATTAATCAAACAAGACAAAGCAGTAATTACAAAAGAAAATAATTTTGATTACCTGAAATTGAAACACTTCTGCACAAACTAAATTAATGCATCTAGGATAAGAAAGAAAGCAGTGGAATGGGAGAAAAATCTTCAGAATTCTCAGATAATAGTTTAGTATCTAAAATATAAAGATAGTTTATAAATATTATGTAAAATATATTGTAGGAGCAGCTAAGTGGTGCAGTGGATAGAGCACTGGCCCTGGAGTCAGGAGGACCTGAGTTCAAATCCAGCCTCAGACACTTGGCACTTACTAGCTGTGTGACCCTGGGCAAGTCACTTAACCCCATTGCCTAACAAAAAAACAATAAAATGTGTTGTATATATGTGTGTATATTGTATGATGTGTGTGTGTGTGTGTGTGTGGAACAGGAATTGGCAAACTAGAACTAGGGACCAAATGTGGTCTGTTGCCTGTTTTGTATGTCATGTGAGCTAAGAATGTTTTTTCCATTTTTAAATACAAATCATTCTTAGCTTGCAGGCCATACAAAAACAGGAATTGGCCAGATTTGGCCCATCAACTGTAATTTGCCAACCTCTGGTATAGAAAACCATTTCCTCAGTGATTAACACTCCCCACTTGGTCATACTCTCCCTGTACCTGTGATTCTGAACCTCCTTGTATCATCATTCAGACTCTCTATTCCATCTCTCACTGTTCATTCCCTTCAATCTAATCCCTTCCAGTAACTCATTTTAAAACTATCAATCCTTTACACTATGCTCTCTGGAATGCCCGCTCTGCAAGTCACAAACTTACCTCCATCTTTTTCTTTTCCATTCTTTCCATCTTCTGGCCCTCACTGAAACCTAGCTTCCTCCTGATGATGCAGGCTCCCTGGGCTCCCTTTCCAGCACTGGTTATACTTTCGCTTATTCCCCTGACTTACTGGAGGAGTTGGAATGCTCCTTGTTCCCCCATTGCCTCTTCTTGTTTATACCTCTGCCACCATTTCTTAGTAGCTCTTCTCTCTAGTAGCTCTTCTCTACCAGCCTCTCAGACACTTTACTTCGTACCTCAGTGAGTTCCTTGTCTGGCTTGCAGTCTTTCTCTCCTTCCCAATTCCTTTACTCATCCTTGGGGAACTTCACCTTACATATTGATACTCCCTCAAATACCTTAACCTCTCAATTCCTCAACTTACTTCCCATGACCTCGTCAAGCCCACTTCACGTACACAGAGAGATGGTCATAGCCCTGATTTTACCATCACCCACAAAATTACCATTTCCATGTACATGAACTCTCAAATTCCCTTATCTGATCATACTTTGTTGTCATTCTACTTCTCCTTCTGCCTTGTAACCCAATGCCCTATTGTTTGGCCACACCATGATCTGTAGTCCCTCAACTCCTGTTCTTTTATAGGCCATTACCCCTGCAGTGGCTATATTCTTTTCCCTTCCCTATCTTGACCCTTTGATCAACCAGTTCAGCTCTGCATTGTCCTCTTCTCTTCAGTCCTTCATTGGATCACTGATTTTTCCTTACCAAGCCCCACCCTTGGATTGCTCACACCATCCACTGCCTCCGTTCCTACTTACTTGCTACTGAATGAATCTGGAGAAAATCGTGAATCCATACAGACTGCCTTCCCTACAAACTTGTGTTAAATAATCTCAGCTATACCAAGACAACCCTTTTACATCTCCCTAAATAACTCATTATGTTTGGTTCTTACATACCATTTCATCTCTCCTTAATTCCCCCATCATGCTCCCTCACCCCACCTTCTCAACAGAGAACCTTGTCTCATATTTAAGTGAAAAAATTGAAGCCTTTCTCCAAGAGCTTTCTTTTCTCCCTTCCTCTTCACCTCTTATCTCCCCCATGCCTTCTGCCACTATCTTCTCCTTCATCCCTGTTTCCCATGAAAAAAGTGGCATTTCTCTTTTTCATGGCAAATCCTCTGCTTGCACAAATAATCCCATTTCATTCCGTCTTCTCCAGCAGATTGCCCCCTCTATTATCCTCACTGTCACTTATCTTGAATCTCTCATGTCTACTGGCTGCTTCCTCACTGCCTGCAAATATATCCATATCTCCTCCATCCTCAAAAAGTTTTCCCTTGATCCATCCATTGCCACTAGCTGTCAGCCCACATCTCTCCTCCCTTTTGTGGTTAAACTCCTTGAAATGACTGTCTGTAAAGGATGTCTCCAGTCGTTCCTCTCACTTTCTTTTTAACTGCATTCTGGCTTCTGACCTCATCATTCAACTGAAACTACTCTCTACAAAGTTACCAATGATCTCTTAATTGCCAAATCTAATGGACTTTGTCTATTCTCATCCTTGTCCTCTCTGCAGCCTTTAACACTGTCAGTCTTCTTCTCATTGATACCTTGTGCTCTCTAGGTTTCCATGACACTTCTTTACCTTGGTTTTCCTCCTGCTTTTCTAACTGCTCCTCTGTCTTCTTTGCTGGATTTTCCTCTAGGTCACGTCTCCTAAAGATGGGTGTCTCCCTGGGCTCTGTCTTGGGTCCATTTCTCCCTCTGTACTCTTTCACTTGGTAATCTCATCAACTCCCATGGATTCAGTTATCATCCCTATGTTTGTGATTCTCAGATTTACTTATCCAGCCTTAACCTCTTTCCTAATCTCCATACTCAAATCTCTAAGTGCTTTAAACCAAAACTGAAGTCATCTTTCCCCCTACACCCTCCCTTCTTCCTAACTTCCCTATTACTGTAGAGGGTATCACCATCCTCCCAGTCACTGAGGCTATCAGCCTAGGTTTCATTCTCTATTCCTCACTCCTCTATATCCAATCTGTTGCCAAGGACTAATGATTTTACCTTAGTAACATCTCTCATGAACACACTCTTCTCTTTTCTGACACTGCCACCATACTTCTACAGGCCCTTAATCTCCTCATGCCTTGGCTATTGCAGTAAACTGCTGGTTGGACTGCCTATCACAAGTCTTTCCCCACTCTATTCTCTTCTCAGCTGTCTAAGTGATTTTCCTAAAGTGCAGGTCTAGATATGTTTCTTCCCCACCCCATTTAAATTCTAGTGTTTTTTCTTTCACCTCCAAGATCCTCTGTTTGGCATTCAAAGCTTTTTATAACCTTACCCCCTCAAGTTCACCACCTTACCCCAGAAGTGGAATTTCATCTCACATCCAGTAAAATGGTAATGGTGATAAAATATGGGAGTAGTCAATATTGGAGAAGTTGTAGGAGGATAGGCACATTGTTACATTGTTGATGGAACTGTGAATTAGTACAGCCCAACCATTTTGGACGGCAGTTTGGAAGTATGCAAATAAAGTGACTGCTACATCCATACTTTTTGACCAGAGATTCCCCTACTAGGCAATATCCCAAGGAGGTCCCTGATAAAAAAGAATAAAGTCCTCTTATATGCAAGAATATTTCTAGCAGTACTTTTTGTGCAGCTAGCAAAGAATTGGAAACAAATTAAATGTTCATTGACTGGGGAATGGCCAAACAAACTGTGGTACTGTGCTACAAGAAGTGATGAATGTAATGAATACATAGAAGAATGGAAGGACTTTAATGAACTGATGCAGAATGAAGTAAGCAGAACCAAGAAAAAAAGATGCACAATGACTACAACTATGTAAAGCTAATAATTAACAACCACAAAACAATTAAAAGTGAATGTCACCAAATTACAAAAAATAAGCATGACCCCAAAGAAGAGAGATGGGAAAACACTTCCCCCTACTTCTTTGTAGAGGTAGGAAGTCTCCAGGTTTGGAACACTGAATGTATTTTCATATTTTTTTTCAAAGGATTGAATAGATTTCCTGGTTTTTCTGTTTTTCTTTTTTTTCTTTAAAAAAATTGTTACTTGAGATGGTTCTCTGGCCATTTGGGGTAGAAATACAGGGGAAGTTTTAGGCTGCATAAAAATCAAATGCCAATAAAAGTATATTCTTGAAAAGTAAAGTACTTTGTAAAACTTAAAATACTATATGTATCAGCTTTTTTTATTATTATTTTAGTGCATTTGTTTGGGCTTTTAGTTCATCTTAATACTTTTTTTCCTCTTAACTGCTTCTGGTTTTATTCTAGTGCTGTCCCCCTGGCAACAACAGCTAAGGAAGAGATGGATCGTACCTGGAACAAGAACATCAATTCAAAGCGCCCTTTGTCACCTCACATCACCATTTACAGGTAGGAGGGAATTCTAGGATAGACTCTAAAAGTGATGGATCAAGGGTCCTTGGAGTTAAGCCTTGCCTCTCTACATCACATACTATACCAGAGCAAAACTACAGAAGTCACCTAAACCGCAGTTTTATCTTGAACACAGACATAAGTGTCCAGTATCCTTGGGCCTTTCCCTGTAGGAAATGAAATAGACACTCTTCCCAGTTATCTTAGTTCTATATCTCAATTCTTGTTCTTCAACTAGTCTTTCTCCCTTGGTTTTCAAGGTCTTGCTAAGTAAAAATGTTTTGAGTGTGGGCAGTTGTAATAGGAGGCCCTTGGAGTAGGACTTGGAGGAGGAGGGTGATACAAGAAGGAAGCAGCTGAATTACTTGATAATAAAGCAGTTGCCTCCCCTTGGAACTAGACTACAATCTGAGATTTCTCTTTTTTTCCACTAGGTTCATGAATCATTAGGCCTACAAATCTTTTTTTTTTTAATAAAAATCTGTTGACATATTTTGTTTTTATGTGTTCTCTGTTTCTCAGTGTATTTGTTCCTTATTCCCATCTCTGAAAAACATCCATTATAGCAAGGAATTTTTTTTTAATTTAGCAAAACTAATCAACACATTGAAAAAGTCTGTCATTATCTGTAGTGTCCATATCCATGGTCTTCTCCAACTCTGCAAATAAGGGAGATGCCTTCTCACAACTGGTTCTTTTTGACCATTCTAATTTCACAGCGTTCAGTTTTGATGTTGCTAACTTATGATGTTCAGAGCTTTAATTCTTCATTTGAGGTCACTTCAGTGAGTGGAGTAAATTAGTTATTTTTCAAGGAGTGAAGGGTGGCAGTCTGTGACAGTGACTGCTGTACTGTGGTGGAAGACTGTGAAGGCAAAAGAACTCAATCTTTAGAAGAGCTGTTTCTCGCTGCTGTTGCAGCAAGACCTCTAGGGCTATTGAAGCCTCCTTAATTAGCATTCTTGCCTGTGGAGCTGGCCATTCTTGAACCACCTCCACAAATACCTCAGCCCTTCAGATTTTCCTCGAGCCAGATTCCAGGAATAATTCTGGTTGGAGAAATAAGCCATTCTGCTCAAACAATATCAGAGTAATAGGTGGCCTCAATCCCTGTGTCTAAGAGATCAGACACTCCTTTCTACCTCAAAAATAATAAAAGTTGGCCTTGAGGGGAGTAAGCTTTGAAGACTCTCCTGGTGATCTTGAACATCTTTGCAAAGCCCTTGAATTTTTCCCCAGAACAATCTAGCATATGTAGAATGGCTTTAGGTTTGTGAGGTGCATCTGTCATTTGCTGTTTGCTTCCATGGTTACAGGCATCTCTGCAAGTGAAGAAATAGCAGGGGAGGTGGGGTGCTTCCATTATCACCTGCCAGGCAAAGACTGCTGAGTTATTGAAAACCAGATTTGCCATTTGTCATTATTAATTATTATGGTTTGGAAGGGAAGCATTGGGCAGTGAATGATTAAGGCACTTGGATTGAAACACCAAGCAACATTGTATATATTTTTCATCAGGATTAAGGTATCAAGTTGAGAAAAAGGGTAGTAACCAGTTGTTCAAAATGAGATAAGATAAAGACTTAGTTAAATTAACCAGAACTGCAAAGTACCAAATGATAAGGGTTTTGAGAACAAAGGGTGAGCTATCTATTGAATAGCAAGAGATAAGTACCTTTCCAGGGAAAAAATAGGTTGGATAAATAACAATGAGTTGTTGATTGTTCTATCTAGAGGACTTCAGAGATCCTGAAGAATAACTCACAGGCTAGGAAAGATTTCTTATATTCTCTGTTGTTTTAGTGCAAGAATTCAGAAAGTAGAAGAACACTAGGACGCTAGAATCCAGTGAGTTCGTTCTTAATTTATTCATTTTTGACTGGTCCTGTTCAGTTTTTGCTTGTTCAATAAGCTTTGTATTAGGGAGAGGGGCTACAAAGGGTTTTGTGCTTCCTTCTGCTGGGGTGCTCTCAATGGAATGGATCATCCTTTGGAGGTTCAACTCACTGCTTTTTTTGTTTTGTTTTTGTTTTGCAGCTGGTCTTTGCCTATGATGATGTCTATTACCCATCGAGGCACTGGTATTGCCTTGAGTGCAGGTTTGTATTTGAGTTTCTGAAGATCCATGACTATCCCAATGGCTTCTGCCTCTATCTCCTTTGTTGTTTCAGTATTCTTATTCAGAGTGTATGGTGAGGTTCTTTGTTCCTGTTGTTAAATATAATTTGTCGTCCTTTCAGCTTCTTATAACATTTAACAAGCTGCTTTGACACTTAAACATTAATGCCTTTGTATTGTGGAATATTCTTAAGATCATAGAGTTTAGGATAGCAAGAAACCTTAGAAGTCATCTTATCTAACTTGTATATTTCACAGGGGAGGAAATTGAGACCCAGAATTGGTGAAGGGATTTGCCCCAAAAGTCACACAGGTCACAGTAATCGGCACAGCTGGGGTTCGAACCTCAGCCCTGACTCCAAAGCCAGCACTTTTCTCCTTACATCATGTTTCCTCAATCAAGAAAACCACCCCACAGAATTGGTAGCAGATAGAGGAGATGTGGTATCAGGCGACAGTGTCTCCAATTGTAGAGGGATTGGGGGAGCCTGAACGTCTCCCTTGGGACACTTATTGATTTTAAGCAAAGGTGACATCTCTTATGTGTCTGGAAGAAGAATGGTTTTGGCGACAGATGTAAACTGAGAAGTGCTGGGGTGCCTTTGAGGGAGTGTTGCCAAATGGGCTATCTGCAGAAAGATTTTCAATCAGAAGACTGCTGCGGTGAGGGCCTGGCAGCTATTCAGGTTAATGTTCCAAGATCTTTACTGACAGTATGAATGACTTTGTGACTTTGAACAGCATGCATGCACATCTCTCTCCTTTTCCTATTGCTACATCCTTGATGTTTCTTAGTACTTCTGGCTATCACCTTCCTACCTTACAAAGAGGGTCACTTTCCTGTCTCAGCAAAGAGGAAGAAAAACTTCTTGCCAGGAATCTGTATGTAAGCAGTAGCATTGCTGTAGCTGAAGGAGCAGTGCTGTCACCTCGCTTGAAACAAGACTGAGCCTTTTTGGCTTCTTCCCTTGGGGTTCTTTAGCCTGGGAGCAGAGCCCATTCCTTACCTATCACATCAGGCATCATTATTGGCCAGAGAGCCTGCAGCCTGGTCTGCTTTGAGTAGACCAGATGGGCGCTACAGGAGCCCTCATGGCCCAGCATGCAGCACTTTCCCTACTGTTCTCTTGATCCAGAAATCTGCTTTTTGGTGCCAGACAAAGCTATCAAGGGGCCGGACAGGACTGTTTCTCATAATGGTTGTAGGTGAAAATGAAGGCAACTGCTTCTTTGTAGCCACTCTTCCTGCTTTCTTTTGCAGTCTCCAGGGTCTTTTCTGGATTGCTTCAGACTTCCTGTTGAGAATTCTTTATTGAAATGCTAACTGCTCTTTTGGCTACAGCTTGTACCAAGGGAGTGGCTGCGAAGCCATTCACAGAAGTGAATACTGAAACTACCTGCTGATACTGACACTTCACTAGTTGTCACATATGCCACGTGGACACTGTTTTATGTTAGTTAAGTTTGGGTTGAGGACATATTCTTATCTGTCCCTTAATCAGTAGAAAGAAGCCTAAATGAAGTAATAGTATTAGGTCACTCAGTCTTGATAAGATGGGTTAATTGTCCAAGAAGCCATGTAGTTCTTCGTATGGAAAAGAGGACCTGGACTTTTGATATAGTCAAAGACTTGATTTTGACATCTCTCTTCTTCTGTGGACTTGGACCTTGTTCCTTTATCCTAGCTCACTTCACTAGCATTGAACCAACAGTGTAAGTTAAAGATTCAAGTACCTTAACCTGATGCTCGCAGTTGTCTTTGTAATGACTAAACTAGAATCACAGATTTCATAAAGTTTGATGCTTCCCACTAGCATGTGAGTAACATCCAGTAGAATACCATCTCTTGCTTCTTTCCTGACTCTTGTCTACTATACTGAAAGTCTTTGTCTCTTCAGATGTCCACTGAGAACTTTGGCTGGATCTCTCTCTTGTCCTTATGCCACTCTTTTTTGGATCTTCCTTGTTTGTGCACATGTTGTCAGCTGAGGGTGGAACATAAGGAAATAGGACTTAATTCATGGTGCGAGACCTGAGTTCTTTGGAACTTCAGCTTACAATTCGGTGGTCCGTTAGATGGTTTGGAAATCTTAGTCATTTTAGACAGTAATTAATCCACTCGTACACCTCATAAAGTGATTGGGCATGTGTGTAAAAATGTTTTCCTACTTCATGACTGCCAAGTCTTGGTTTTCTTGTACCAGTAAAGTGGGATAGGCTGAAAACTTAATTTGGCATTAGAGAAGCAAAATACCTCTTGGAAATGCTTGGCTCTACTTGGGAAACACCGATGCTCTGGACAGTGAGAGTGATTGACTGGCAGAAAGGGAGCTAGTGGGATTGATGGGATTGATGTTGACAGCACTTTAGTGGAAAGAACAGTCAGGTGTTGTCAATTCAAAGCTTTAGTTATCCTTTGGACAGCTTTGCTTGTTTTGATGTTTATGGTTCCATTGACAGTAGTGTCTGCAAAGGCTTGGAGGAGGTGGTCTTGGTAAAATAGTCAGAAAGCCTCTGGAAATAGCTTAGGGACTTCATGAAAACATCTCTTTTCGTGCTCTGTAAGTTCTGTCAATACCAGTTAACTGCAGTGGAGCCAGAGAGAGCTGGTCCTGGCAGTTCATTGAAATGGCCTTTTTTCCTGTAATGATTTTCTGGGACAGCTGCAACAGCTTCATTTTCCTAATTTTAATCATTTAAACACTAAAGGAATCTCTAGAACATGGCATCTTAAGATTCAGTACTCAAATGGGATCTGCCTCTTACTTCCCAACAGTGAGGTTGAACAGTGTTTTTCCCCTGGATTTATCCATACTGTCTGCCCTTCTCAAAAGTAGGGAATTACGTGTTACTGTCAGTCCTTTGAAGGCAAGTTTGGACACTGAATTGATCAAAGTTCTGTGTCCTCTAGTGTTGCTTACCTTTGTGTTATTCTGTTTATTATGAAAATTATTCTCTTAGTTCTGTGCTCCTTTAATTCTGCATCAGTTCATACAAACCTTAGAATTCTTAATATTTGTTAATTATGGTACAGTAATAGTCTGTTATGTTCATATACTGAATTTTGTTTGTCTATTTCCCAGTTGAGGAGTACCCGCTTTGTAGTTTTTTGCTACTGCAAACAGTGCTGCCGCCATTATTTTTGTATATATAAGACCATTCCTTTTGTTTTTTACTTTCTTTGGTTATATGCCCAGTAGTGATCTTGGAGTCAGAGGGTCTATATAGTTTAGTAACTTTTCTAGTATAGTTTCAAATAATTTTGTAGGATTGTTGGATTAATTTGGAACTCCATCAACAGTATATTAGTGGACCTCTTTTCAGCGTCTCCCACTTTACCATTTTCTCTCTTTTGTCATCTGTGCCAATCCAGTGGGTATGAGGTAAAAACTTAAGAGTTGTTTTAATGTGTAATTTTCTTATTAGTGATTTCTTCATTAATCATTTCTTCATATTGATGATTTGTATTTTTTTCTTTTGAGAACTATGTATTCCTATCCTTTTAGAGTTTATCTGCTGAGATAATCAGAAGAGTATTAAAGAAACTTAGATCTCATTTCTCTTATAAATTTTTCTTTTTAAGGAATCAGGCTATTGCTTTGTCACCTTTATTTGAAAAAATAGATTATTTCTTCTCTTCTCCATTGGTTCCCCCCTTTTTTTGGTGAGGCAGTTGTGACTTGCCCAGAGTCACACAGCTGGTGAGTGTTATGTGTCTGAGATGGGATTTGAACTCAGGTCCTCCTGACTGCAGGGCTGGTGCTCTATCCACTGCATTGTCTAGCTGCCCACCTACCCCTGGTCCCCTTTTAAAGAACATTATGGATAGGGCCAAATGGGAGACAGCCAGGTATTATGATTATTTTGTTAATCATATCTGAGGGGGGAGGGGAGGGGAAGGTGGTCAAGACCTTGGGATTACATCTGCCTGGTAAAACCCCAGATTTCCTCATACAGCTTTTCTCTTGGCCTCCAAATAATGGAGTAACCCTATCAAATAAGATGTTTTTCATTAAAAACTAAAGATTTCATTCTTGTGACATCTTGATTTTGACACTCTGGAGTCTAGCCATCTTTTAAAAATTTGATTAGAAAGGTGCTACAATATAAATGTTCTGAAAAACTTTAACTAAGATGGAAACAGTTTCTTTCTTCTAAACTAAGTAGATTCATTGGCAAAGTTCCCATCTGGCGAGGCAGAGTCTGAAGAAGCAGTTGTCCAGGTCTTAGGCATCTTGTCTTAGGTCACAGGGATTGGTAGTGTTAATCCAGGTGATACTAAGGTGAGGTAGCCAAATTGCTTCTTGGGCTCTGAGCTCCTTAAGAGTGTCTATTATTGGGACTACACAAGTTTTGACTTTAGGTTGCCACCCAGGATATAGGTAACAACTAGAGCTACTGTCATGTCTAGGAAATATGTACCTTGGATAGGTGGGACACTACTATTTAGGTCTCAGACTTTTCATCTTGGCAACAGCACTGCAAAAGGTCAGTAGAGAGCCTTGTGGCTGAACAGATCCCATTTTTATCTTTGGATGTGTCTTCCTCCATTAATGAGGTGGGAATGGTTGTATCTATCCATTTCACTTTTTTGAGAGCCCAGATCAAAATGGTTTTGTGTCTGAGGACAGAATACATGAAATGCTTTTTTTTTTAAGTGGCTGCTAAGGCATTCCTTTAAAATGATTTTAGTTGGCTTTTAAATAGCTAGCTCTAGAAAGTTTAAGAGCTCCCCGGACGAGACTGTTCTTCCAATCTCACAGATAGGGAAGCTAAAGCTCAGAGAAGGTTCTAGTAGAACTGGAGCCAAAACTGGCTCTGTTAGGGACTTAATATTTGCCTTTTATCTGATTTCTTGAGTAAGAAATCTCACTCAATATTCAATAATCTGCTCTGTCTTTGGCAGCCTCCATGAGAAAAATATTGACTTATAGATTGGAGAACTATATGGGAGTGAGGAGTGAAGAATGTGACATGAGTGTGAGATGGGATGGGGGATGGGAATTAGGGTTTGGAATATCTTCCGTGGTTTTCTCATCTTAGAACTTATGTATGTAGAATTGGTAGAAGATAATAGCTTGGTCTTTCTGCATCAGAGCCTGGGCAGTTGTCTGGTTCATAACTCTTATTTATGTTTCTTATGTCAAAAGTAAAGAGTTGACTTGCCTTTGAATCTCAGACATGTAGAAGGAACTAAAAAATTATGCATGTGTGTGTGTGTGTGTGTGTATATATATATATATATATATATGTATATATATATATATATGTTTTATGTGTGTATGTATATATCTCAAATATTAATACTGCTTATATGATTTTTTTTACCCTATTTATTTATTTATTTATTTATTTGTTTGTTCATTTATTTATTTATTTAGTGAGGCAACTGGGGTTAAGTGACTTGCCTGGAGTCTTATGTGTTATGTGTCTGAGGCCAGATTTGAACTCAGGTACTCCTGACTTCAGGGCCGGTGCTCTATCCACTGCACCACCTAGCTGCCCCTGCTTATATGATTTTTAAAAATCCTCACTGCAGCAAGGACAGGTTATAGGATATCTGCTGTTCATTTCTTATTGAAAAGCCATAGACCTTTCATGTGCCATTGAAAAGCTCATTTGATGTTAGAATCAAATATTGTTCATATGAAATTCTTGTAAGAGAATTGCTCTGGCACAGACTTGTGCAGCCATCTCAGACTCTAGCATGCCTCTATGCAAAGGTTCAGTCAGTTTGATTAGTTTAAGGCCAAGTGCCTCATAGACCATGTGGTCTGAATGGGTTCATGGAGCTGTTGTTGTGTGGCTGTTTCTGAAGGCCCTTGCAAGATTCAGTTGGTCTTTCAACTGTGCTTTGCCTTTTTGTTGACACAATTTTTTCCATGCTTGTAAGTAAACCCCATTGGGGCAAAGCTGGCCAGGCAGCTGAGTGAAATCTTGGTGAGAAGCCTGGGCCAATGGAAATTGATAGTAGGAGGGGATGCCTGGGTAGGATTCCTGGATCAAACTCCCTGCCTTAACTGAATTGAGTATTTGAATGTTACAAGTATAGCAGCAGCAATACACACACATACACACACACACACACACACACACACACACACACATACACAGAGCAAGCAGTTGTAAAACTATTTATATAATACTGCAGTTTTCTCTTGGATTGTGTAATAGTTGGAGGTACCCAGAGTATCTTTTATTTATCTTTGTATTTTCCCCAATTTCTAGCACTGCGCCCTACACATAATTTGTGCAGAATAACTGTTGAATTAATGGTGACTGTCAGAGTTGTGAATCCATTTACTTGGTAGTTAGAGATTTAGCTATCCAAGTGCTTTCATTAACATGAAAATAACTCCTTTGGTCAGTGGTGCTGGGCTTGTGTCTGAGATTTCTAGAAGGGAAGAGAATGAGAGTTATGTGTACTGGATGAGTATGGTGGAATTGGAATAGAAAGTCTTTCCCCTTTTATAGAGTGGAAAATGAAATACTTTTCTCACTCATCCTTAGATTGTGCAAAATGAGGGTGTCTTGAATTGTCCCTAGATTGTTTAGGATGGCTACTAATGGGAGTTTGTGGTGTTAGAGGAACCAGAAAGAAAGATGACTTTCCAGTCTAAGTGTCCTGAAGTGAGGATATGTGAAATTTTTGACAGGATAAAATTGTACGTAATAGGTATATGACATTGATTGTTATGCAGATATAGAAAAAGAAATTGTCCTTGGGCTAATGTTAGAAAATTTCTTTGAAGAGGAGGTCTAGCTTCCCTTTGTAATTGTAGTTATAAAGACATTTTTTTCCCAAGGCATAACTGGTTTATTTTTCTTGACGATTTCTAAGAGGCATTGTGGTATAGTGCTAGCCTTGGAACCAGGGAGACCTGAATTCAAGTCCCATCCCTGAAATATACTGCTTATGTGACCCTAGAGAGTCACCTAACTTCTCAATGTTCTAGGAAGCCCTCTAGCATTAGAAATTGCACAGGAGCTGCCAGCCTGTAGTAGGAGAGGGAGTTTCCTCATCCAGGAGTTCTCTATGTCATTGAAATCACAGGTTCTGTCTTTATCCTTATTTTTTTCTTATTTATTGAATCCTTTCACCTAGATCTCTCTCTCTGCTCAATTTCTCCTCACGCTTCCCCAGACTCCCTTGAAATGCATCAGTTATGGTAGAGACAAGGGCTAGAGGTCATCCTATTCCATTGTCTTTCCAGGAATGTTGAATTCGAACAGCTGGGTGATCTTAAAAATCTGCGGAGAAAAGATTTGATGCCCATTCAAGTATGTCACAGTTCTCCTGTAAGAAAGGCTCACATCTAGCTTATCCCTTGGCTGCCTTGATTCTGGTCATTTTCTCTTATCTTCAGTGGGTATAAAGAACAGTTGGGCTCTGTAGTTTATTACCTTTATTCAGGGTAGTGAGCCTAACTTCTGTTCTTGTGGGTTATAAAGTAAATGTAGACCCTCTCAAGATACAGATCTGGTATTCAATAAACATATCTGAAGTACTTACTCTGTGCTATGCACTAGGAATACAAAGTTAAAAAAATAGGCCAACCCTTTGAGCAATTTAAATTCTTCTTTACAGATACAGTGTGTCTACAGATAAGTAATAATAATTTGAGGTGGGAAAGAGTACTACTAACAGCTTGGGTGGGGAGAGAGAGATGAGAGAGGGCTTCCAGAAGAGGTGGCACCTGAGCTGAACCTTGAAGGAAGATCCAGATTCTGAGAGTTAGAGATAAAGCTGTTATGTTTCATAATAAATGTTTGAGGAATCAAATTGAAGTTGTATCGAATGTAACTGGCAAGAAATAATGAATTGTTCAGAAAAACCTGGAAAGACTTACATGAACTGATGCAGAGTGAAGTGAGCAGAACCAGGAGAACATTGTACATAGTAACAGCCACATTGTGTTATGACTAACATTGATAGACTTAGCCCTTCTCAGCAATGCAAGGATCTAAGAACTCTCCAAAGGTCTCGCGATGGAAAATGCCATCCATATCCAAAGAAAGAACTATGGAGTTTGAATGTAGATCGAAGCATACTGTTTGCTATTTTTTTCTTCTGTTTTGTTTTTTCTCCTCTTTCTGGTGGTTCCTCCTATTGGTTCTAATTCTTCTTTACAACATGACTAATGTGAAAATGTTTAATATGAATGTATATGTAGAGTGTATATTAGAATGCATGCTGTCTTTGGGGGGGAAGGAGGGTGGAGGAGAAAATTTAAAACTCAAAATCTTAACTGATGCATTTCAAGGGCATCTGGGGAAGTGTGAGTAGAAATTGAGGGAAGAGGCGCAGTGGATAGAGCACTGGCCCTGGAGTCCGGAGGACCTGAGTTCAAATCTGGCCTCAGACACGTAATACTAGCTATGTGACTCTGGGCAAGTCACTTAACCCCAGTTGCCTCACCAAAAAACAAACAAACAAAACCCAGAAATTGAGGGAAGAGATCTAGGGGAAAGGATTCAATAAATAGGGAAAAAATAAGGAAAAAGAAGTAAATGTTGAAAACTTAAAAATTAATTAATTAATTTTTAAAAAAAGAAAGAAAAATTATGGATTGCTTGACTTTCTCCTCAGGAGTATCCCTTTTTGGATTGGCAGCCTTGTTGCTCCCTGGGAATTTTGAGGGTCACTTGGAGCTTGTAAAGTCCTTGGGCCTAGGACCAACTCTGATCCACTCAGCCAAGTTTGCTCTTGTCTTCCCATTTATGTACCACACCTGGAATGGAATCCGACACTTGGTAAGTTTGGAGGGTCTGGAGAGGTGGGGAAGCAAAATGCTGCCTATTTTAGAAGTGGCCTTAGAATTAATTTTGTCCATCTTCCTGAGATGAGTAAGTGAAGGCACAGAGGGTTTAAGTGACCTGTTTGAGGTCACATAGCTAATAAGTAGAAGAGCCTGAGATTTGGGCCAGGTCTTCTGACTCCAAATCCAGTGTTGTTTCTGCTATGTCACACTGCCTTTCTTTAATGGGAAAAGCCTGGCCTTAAATGCTAGTGTCTGAGTTGTTCTGGGCTGCACTAGATACTTTAGATTTTAACAGTGGGCCTGCTTATACCCATTTGATATTTTGGGAATAGTAACCAGTTACCCCAGGGACAGTTGAGAACTAAATGTCTTTAGTCTTGCTTATGGAGAGATTGAAGCCCAGCTTCTATCACTGTTGCTTCTGAGTAGATAATTTTTGCTATTTTCTCAAGTTACCTGTTATTAATTTTTAGTCTTTGTTGAAATCTTTAGTTCTACTTTTTGCCTTATTTAAGACAAATGTAACTCCCATTGTTTCTTACTGTTTATTACTGATTAGTTCTCTGTAAGACTGATTTTGTCTTGGTTTGTGTTGGTTGTACTGCAGCAGAACCTTAAAGACAGGTATTATGTGGTAAAATTTCAGTCAGCCCAGAGGGGAGTTTTGTAGAATCACAGAAGTGAGAGACTAAAAGACCTCTTGTCATTGTGTCCATCAGCTAGTCCTGGAGCTTTGCTCAGCTTGATTTGAAATGGTTTCCACTTCCCTTAGGGAGACCATTTCTACTAATGACATGTTTTCCCATTGGACCAGCTTTCTAACAAACTCAGCTGATCAGCCTTTTTTGCACATAGCCTAGAGGCCAGAGTTTCCAGATTTCCTCCTTTGGTCATAATATGTGAGGGCTGAAGAAAGCCCAAAGCTCACTTCTTGTCCTTGTTCCTGACTTGTGAAAACATCTGTAGAGAGAGGTCAGGAGCCTAAGGGCTTTGCTTAAGCTTTAAAAAGCTATTCTTATTCTTGCTTTTGTCAGGTCCTAAGCTCTGACATTGGGACCAGATTTTCCTTTGCTGCTTCACAGCCCCACAGGCATTGTGCTCTGCTAGTACATCCATGTGGATGCAGTCCTCCTGCCCCTTGGTTCCTTTATCTGAGCTCTCTCCAGCTGTTCTGTGTTGAATGATCGCTCTGTCATTTAGTGAGGACAGTGCCTACCTACTTCAGAGAATACCTTATGGCAGACCTTCACAACTTGGCAGTAGGTAGGGGCCAAAATTAAAATAGGCTAAACTTCTTCAAGCCACAGATAGGTTTTTAGCGGCTCACTTTCCAGGTAAAGGTAACTAGAGACAGACCAAAGATGGTTGGTTGCTGCAAGTCATGTGACAAACAGGAGAGAGTGCTCAGTGGCGACCCACCTGCCAAGTTCTGTGACAGGCACAGTAGTCACTAGTGGAAGGTGGGTTAAGAGGAGCATGGACAAAGCACTTGGTATATCTTTACTTAATATCCTCTACATTTTTTGAAGGCTGCCTGAAATCCTTTGGTCGACCCTCGAGCTGTATGTTGTGCAGGCCTGCCCTGTGGTATACTCTGGGGCTTCTTATCAGCAATCTGTATTTGTTTTAATGCAAATTAGTGGTTCTGTTGTGGTTAGGCACTAAGTTGTTCAGCTTGGAACTAAAGATCCTCAAGGTTGGCCCCTGTGGGTTTTGAGGGTGGCCTACTAGAGGATGGTTAGGTAGGTTTCTAGTCATTCTAGGGGATGAGAAGTGAACTCTGCTATCTGTCTGGGTTTATGATGTGGTCATATGGGAGTATAGTGGGTGTTAAGGGAGGACTAGTACCTCTGGGGTGAGGGCTTATTGAGACTTTTTCAGGCCTGCCTTTGATATGTCTGCCTGATTCACCCAACTCTCACCTGTGGCTCCAAGAAGCTGTAACGTGTGCAGTGGCAACACCCTGGTAGAACCACCTCAGTAGATGGACAAAACCAGGTTGAGGATAACTGACAGGCCTCAAACCTGTTGGTGAATTAGGGGGCTATCTTCCTCAAGCATGTGAAGACTTCCCTGGCGAAATGGGCAGATGAGAACAATTTATTCCATTGGCTGTGAAGGCAGCTGAAGCAGGTGCTTTGGAGCACTTAGAGCTTGGTCAGACATTGAAGATGTGAAGGTCATTTTCAGAATCCTGGGCCATTACCAGTTGTCCCGACTTCTGTCTTGCCACTGGACTTAGATAACTCTGGAGAAGAGAGTGAAGCTGATGACTTTATGCAGCTCTGCCTCACTTAGATCCAGTTCATTCAAGAGTCAAGACATCACCCAGTGAGGTTATTGATCCTCTTTGAAAATAAAGATAGACAACAGTAATGATATGGTCAGGAACCCTACTTGCCTGAAGTTTCTATTTGGCTTCTTTTTGCCTAGCTTGGCCAGTATTTTATTACAGAAGTCATTGTTTCTAACTGATGTTAGAATGTGGCCGGTTTTCAAAATTTTGATGTTACTAATTCTTCTGATTGTTTTTAAAATTATGATTTACTAATCTTTCTGATTGCTTAGTTTCTTTTTTTGTCTTTTTCTTTATAGGTGTGGGACCTAGGGAAGGGCCTGAAGATTCCTCAGCTCTACCAGTCTGGAATAGCTGTCTTGGTTCTTACTGTGTTGTCCTCTGTGGGACTAGCAGCCATGTAAGGGGATAATATATCTCCCATTTCCTCCAATGAGATGAAGGATCTCATTTTCCTTCTCCCTTGCCTTCAGCCACCCTTTCCCTCAGGCCTGGGCAGAGCCCTTCTGTTTTGCTTAGATCTCAGTATGTTTGAAGAACTCCTTAGAGTCTGGGTCATGAGTATCGAAGCTGTGGGAGAAGTTCCAACACTCTCCTCCCTAAAGAAAGCTGCATGATAAGGCTCTCCAACCCTTCCTCTTCTCCTCTCCCTGCCCTCCCACCCCCTCCAACTACCTTTTTTGCTGTGGGTTTATCCTCTTTCCTCAGGCCTCTTCAGCCTCTCTCTACATTGGGTTTTGACTTGTACTAAGGGTCAACTGTTGGCTGCCTGATCCTGAGGCAGTAAAAACAATGCCATCTCTGTGGCCTCTGCCTTAGGGTTGGGGAGAAAGGCTTTGAGTGCCAGTGGCCGTGGGCTGCTGGCTTAAAGGACAAGGCTGCCCATTGGAAATGGCCCAGAGTCCTAAACCACCCACACTTTGAGAGAAAAGGGAACCAGCCCATCTGGGTGGGTGCAGGGAGAGAAGGAAGGAGGGTGAGTTGGCTCCCTGGAGGCTGCAGATGTTCTGTGGGGGGAGCGCAGACAGCTCTCCTGGCCCAGGAAAGGATTCAGAAGATTCTCAGTCAACACATTGGGAGTTCTCTCTTTTCCTGGCACTTTGAGGAAAATGAACTTCTTAATTTCATATTTTCCAATAAAAATTCATGTGACATCTTTTTCTGTAATTAAATGTAAATCACCCACCCTGTCTATTTTTCTCCTTGAGATCTAGATATAAGGAATAAGGACTGGGGAGGTGCCAACTATCTCCACCCTCCAGCCAGGAAGCATTTGTTCTGTGAAGAGTTTCGCATTAAATGAAAAAAGGTACAGCATGATATTAAATCTCATGCAGCATGCAGCTCCAAGTATTGAAGGGAGAGAGAAAAGTTTGCTACAGGCCTCCAAACTCTATTGAAGACTGACTGTATGTTATCCTTCATCCAGAGAAGTGTAGAGGGGCCTGAAGGAATTAGAGAGTTGGGAGCACAGAGCACAGACTTTTGGGAGACGAGAGGAGGAACTAAACATCTAGATAGGGAATTATAATGGGGAAAATTTTCACCTTATATATCTGGAAAGTCAGGCTCCTGTAGCCCTAGTTCCCTGAATTTTGAATATATTTTTATTTATTTCATTAAATGTTTCCCAATTACATGTAAAACCATTTTTAGCAATCTTTTTTTTTTAAATTTTGAGTTCCCAATTCTCTCCCTCCCTCCTGTGTCTCCCCCATCCTTGGAAAGGCAATTTTTGATAGCAAATGGGTGTGTGAAGTCAAGCAAAATCTATTTCCACATTAGCCATGTTGCAAAAGAAAACAAACAAAAAATGAAAGTAAAAAAAGGTATGCTTCAGTCTGTATTCAAAGTTCATCAGTTCTCTTTCTGGTTATAGATAGCATTTTTTATCATGGATCCTTTGGAATTGTCTTGATCAGAGTAGCTAAATCTTTCACAGTTAATTATCCTTCCAATATTGCTATTGCTGTGTAGAATATTCTCCTGGTTCTGCTCACTTTACTTTGCAGTGCATATAAGTCCTCTCAGGTTTTTCTGAAACCATCCTGTTCATCATTTCTTACAGCACAATAGTATTCCATCACAATCATATACCACAGTTTGTTCAACCATTTCCCAGCTGATGGGCATCCTCTCAATTTCCAATCCTTTGCCACCACAGAAGGAGCTGCTATAAATATTTTGCATTAAATAGGTCCTTTCTTTGATCTTTTTAATTCCTTATATTTTAAGAAGACTTTTTCTGATGACTACTAGCTGCTCATGGGTGAGCTTTAGAGATATCCTGGTTTTAATGCCTTATCTAGAGATTGGAGCTACTAGCCAAATAGGATATAGGGGTGAGATAGATAGGTAGATAGATGGTAATTAGGTGATATTTCTGAGGTAATATCAGTGGAGTTCTGTTCCTTCAGCATTTTTATATGTCAGCTTTTTATGATGTCAGCTCCTGTAAATCTGTCCTGAACCATTCTAGCCAGGACCTTATGAGATACTGTACTTAACAGCCAAACTATCATTGCAGAACAGGGAAGGTACTTTAAGTTTTCCTCTAGCCTGAGTTATCAACTAGTTCCCTTGGTTGGCTCTTGCGGATTTTAACTTCCAGCTTGGTTGAGATGTCTTCAGAGAAATTAGGAAGACAAGATAGGCTGGCCACATGGTGAATATAAGGCCTTACCTTACATGGTAGCCCATATGCACCACTGATGATGGCATGTTGATGTCAAAAAAAGAAAAGACCCTTTTCACATTGGATGAATCTCCAGTGAGATCCATGAGATCCATATGAGAACACATGGCTTGATTGCAATTTATTGTTAGAGGGAATGCCCACATTGAGATTACAGATTCATTGCATTATTTCACGAGGTGTGAGTTGAGTAATTGTTACTTTGTTATTCGATATCTCCTCTTTTACTTCCCATTTTCCTGAGTACTTAGTATTTGCATTATTTTATACTGATGAGTATTACTGTCATTTTCCTCTATGTGTCCTTAGATTTTTTTTTTTTGCTTTTGGTGAGGCAGTTGAGTTAAGTGACTTGCCCAGGTCACACAGCTAGTAAGGGTCAGGTGTCTGAAGCTATATTTGAACTCAGGTCCTCTTCACTCCAAGGTCAGAGATCTATCCACTGTGCCACCTAGCTGCCCCTACACCATTAGATTTTAAGTTCTGCAAGGACAGCAGATGTTCTTATTATCTTTCCCTATGATTAGTTACAAAGGTACATCATGAATACTTTTATGGTATTAAATCACTTCTTGATCTAAAGCCACACTATGTGATCCAGAACTTTGTTGTTTGTGGGTTTGTTTGTTTTTTTTTTAATATTCTCGAGCAACTGGACTTGTCTTTCCCTCTGGAATCGTGTGCTTCCCTGACCTGGCCAGTTAAAGCTAGAACCCTGTGCTCCTGAGATTCCTTCCTTCCTCGCATTTGTATTAGAAATGGCAAATATAGAAGGAGGGGAAGACCCAGATCAGAAGAAAACTTCACATTTTATTTTTATTAAATTGTTTAATTTTAAGATTTTCATTTATCCACACCCCATGTAAACTTGTTTGACGTTCCTGAGGTAGAATTAGGTTCACTCCATTATCTCCTTGGGACTCAATGGGGCTGGTGCTCTGTCTGCTGCTGGGGTTCCTCATTAGAATTTTCCACATTCCTTTCTTGGATTTCCTGGCCCTCGGGCTTGTTACAACTGTGGCAGTCCTCTGGAGTCATGGGACTGTTGGTTGCGGTTTTTGAAGCTCTGGAACTAGAGCAAGAGCAGGAGCATGAGCATGGGCCAATTCCAGTTTGGGGGTGCAAGTGGGGCTGGAGAGCCTTGGGGAGGCCTCTTGAGGGTGGGAATTTATGGCTGAAGAGGGATGCAGAATCTCTTGTACAGCTTTTGGAGTAATAGTCTTCTCTGGGGCTTTGGGCTCCCGTTTCTACGTGGTCCTGAATCTTGGGGCTGTGGGATGACAACAGCTTGGTGGATCAGACTTATAGCCAATTAAGGTCCATTGTACCCCACCCTCCTTTGAGATTAGATCAGCCCCTATTATCGCTTCCACCACCCTGTTTTAGCCTCCCCTCTGCTAGTCAAAGCTTAAAAACCCGTATTTACACTTAAAAGTATTGATATCTCAAACTTGAACTATCCAATGTCCAAATCATCTAAATTCCCAAGTTTATTACTGTCTTTCGTATTTGAATGAACAGTATGACCATCTGTTCACCTTGGATGAGAATCAAGATTTGAATTGGATCTTAAATATCATCTAGTACCACCTTTTCATTTTACAGGTGGGAAAACTGAGGTCCAGAGAAACCAGGTGACTTGCCCAAGGTTAGCAAGCTAGTAAGTGGCAGAACCAGGACTTGGACTCAGATCTTCAAAGGTTTGATTCGCTGTTCTATATCCTTCATATCCTTCATTTCCATGATCACTCTATTTTGGGACCTCATCTAAAAGTTACAGAGCCAGTAAGTGGCAGAATCAGGGCTTGGACTCGGGTCTTGATAAGATTAGATTTTCTGCTTCCACAATATCTCATTTTCACAATCACTATTTTGGGACCTCAGAATCTCTTGCTATAATAGCCTCCTTTCTACTTCTTGTTTTTTCCTTAATCCTTCACATGGCTGCCAAATGTCGTATTTCTAATGCATAGCTTTGATAATACTGCCTTTCTCAAAAATCTTCAGTGACTCCCTGCCTACAGAATAAAGCCAGATGGCTTATGTTGGCATTCCTTGACCTCCACAGCCAAATCGACCTTTCTAGTCTGTCTTCTTTCTTTCACATTATCCCCTTTTCATACACCCAACACAAGTCAAATTGGATTACTTAAGTTTCCTGAAACATAATCCTTGGTCTGAAGCCCTCCTTCCACATCTGCTCAAATATGTGTTCCTCAATGCCCAGCTCACTGCTTTTGAAGCTCTTTTCTCAAGAGGATGGCTCTCTACTGTGAGCTCATAGCACTTTTTATCTCATGTATTTATCATATTATACTTTGTATATTAGAGTTATTTTGCACATGTCCCATCTCCCCTGCTGAGCAAAGTTTCTGTGAGGCAGGAATCCAGGCTTATGATATCTCAATGCCTAAAGCACAGTGGTAGTCAGTTTTGCTGAACTGAATTCAGAACTGGGCAGTAGATGGATAGGACTGGGACAGAATTAATCAAGAGTTGTCTAAATGCTCCCCCTGCTGGGCCCAAGGATGTAAAAAAAGGATGGGTCAAGAAGAATCAGGGTTTACGTACATGTCCCCGGATTTCTGGACGTAGTCCATTGGAAGCATTGAGCAGATTGGGGTTTTTCTGCACCCAGTTTATTAGTCGGTTAGCAGCAGCAGTGGAACGGGAAGTCAGGGTTACTCGAGCTGGTGGAATCTGCAGAGGCATTTGCCAGGTACCCATGAATGTGCCCCAGGGACTGGTCTGCAAGGAAAGGAACAAAGTTAGCCATTTACTGTGACCTACATGTAGGGGCTTTTCCTCTGACACTTCCTCCACCCACCTCACCTTCATCTCTTAGCTCTAGAAACCCCAGGTTAACAATTCCAGAAGACTGATGATGAAACGTGCCATCCAACTCCTGACAGGTAATAAATGAACTTGATGCAGAATGAAACTTTTTTTGACACGGCCAGTGTAAGAATTTGTTTTGCTTGACAATGCATACTTGTTACAAGGATTTTGTTTTTTAATTTCCCCCAAAGGGGGAGGGGTGGGGAGTGAGGTGGGATGGAGAGAAATACTTACTAATTAAAAAAAAAAGTTAAAATTTTAAAGAAAAAAGAAACCTTAGTTTCACCCTAGGTTGGACCCCTAATCTCCTACGCCTTACACAATACATACACACTAATGGGATCTGGCAATCACTAGTTCCTTCCTCCCTTTTGTGTCTAGTGGCTTAAGTTTAAATTTGAAGTGATTCAGCATATTAGAACTCCCCACCACACCCCAAATCAGTCTCTGTATAAATACCCTTGCTTAAGCGCCTTATTGATTCTCCATTTTCTTTAGCCTTTAAACTCTACAGGGGTCGCTTGGGTGGTATCCATTGATTATACTTAGATTCTTTTGTTGGAGTAACTAAGGAGTTGGGGAGCATTCATTTTACTGTGTAATTTAAATAAGACTCCCAGTCCTCAGGGTAATAAGTTGAGGAGCATAGAAGGCCACTCTACAGGAATAAGGTATCTTACCTTGGACCTGGGAACTGAAGGTAGCAGATGACCACGATCATTAGCGATGATCTGAGTGTAGCCATCATGGGTTTCAGGGTGCTAGAGAGAAAGCCAGGGAGTATGATAGTCAAAGAAGTAGAAAGTGGAAGAAATGAAAATTGGCCAGAAGAGTTCAAAAGAATTAAAGGTGATGAAGAATTTGAAGAGACATAAGGAGGAGTGAAAAAATCCTTGGGAAAGGGAATGAAGAGGTGATGAGGAGAATATAAATTCATGCAGTAGGGAAGAAATGGGGAGGGAAAGAAGAAGAAGAGGTACCTTTTTGACGTCTTTGGCTATGCACCAGTTCCGAAGATAGTTCGGAGCAAAGGAATTTTCAAACTATGGAAAAATGTAAGTTTCTTATGCATGAACTGTCTCATTTTTGAATGTTTAATTTTATCCCTACCACTTAGTATATTGTCTGGCAGACAGGCACTTGGTAAATGTTTGTTAATTGATTTGGTCATAGGACCCTATGCCCAGAAACTCCCAACACAGAAAACGCAGGGTCACAGATAACGCTCTGGGGCAGAAAGCTTCACTGGAACCCAAAAATCGAGGCATATAACAGGCATCGAATCTTAAAAATTTAGAGATGAGATAATCCAATTCCTGAGGCATAAAACAAATGGTGTGCCCAGGATCACAGTTAGCAATAGAGCTGAGACTAGAACCCAGGTCTCTGAACTCCTAGTAAAGTTCCCCCTTCCCCTTAAACTGCAGAGAGGAGCCCCTGTGTCTATGGTGTAAAATGCTCAACCCTGAGGTCTCAGCTCTCCACTCACCCAACTTGCCTTCAAACCCCCACTGAGAGGGAGCAGGTAAATGAGGCAGGGTGTCCGCAGACTGGGGAGTCCATCTGAGTGTCTGTCTTGGGGGATATAATGAAACCTTAGAGGATGAGCAGATTCATATTGGGTTATGAAGAAACAGGGAAGCAATAAAAGAAAAAAAGGTTACCTGATTAGCGCTGTAGTTAGAAGCCATGATCCCACAGTTGCTATTGTTTACATTTGTTACTTAGCAACCACAGAGAAGGCTTGCCTTCTATTGCCACCAATCAGTGGGGACTGTCCTTTCCTCTCACCTCAACTGTTCGATCCCTTACCTTCCCATCCCCCTTTCCATTCCCCCCTCTCACCCTTAGGAGTCAGAGAGACTCAGACAAGGGGCACAGAGTGATTGCCAAGACCTTAAGGAGGCACATAAGGTGAACACAAACCTCTTCTTGGACTTCCTCTTTATGTGTGTTTGGGTATAGTGGTTTTTATGCTGTAAGACAGCTGTTCCTCTTATCTGTATTTTCTCTAGTGCCATGATCTTTGCATGATAAGGTTTAATTGGGTCTCTCACCAAGCTTTCTGTAATCATGTTCTTCCTTCCACTTTTTCTTGTTTTATGCTCATAAGCTTTTTCTGTCTTCTTAAATAATGTAACCCTCATGTCAGCCTAGTAATCAAGATCCATGACTTCCAGGCACTTCAGGGTGAGGCTAATGAGACTATCTTTTCTGTCCTACCCATTGTGGTCCGTCAAGTGGCTAGAAGGTCTTCAGAGAAGCCTTCCTAGGATCCCCACAAAGTATCAAAAAGTGAATACAGGCAGTACCTGTCTAGCCCACTGCCCAGGTCCTCAGAGGTGCTGCCCTGCCTATGGCAGCCTCCCCTGTGTGCCAGTAAACCAAGGTGCCTAGCATAGGATTGCAGGATGGAACTTTGGTCTCTTCCCATCCCATAGTCTAGTCCACCCTACTCATTACAGATGAGGAAGTTGAGGCCCAGAGAGGTTGAGGTCACACAGAGCACTTTTTCACTACCTGTTGACTACTTCCCCCTTCTCTGAGGTATTATTGGTAATTTAGCTTTGTGTCTTAGGGCCCCTAAAACTGACACTACAAATTATTTCATAGTTTTGGCTTCTGTGACCCCTTCTTATGTATAAGAATGTTTGCTTCTTAAAATTTTGTAGCTGCAAATGTCATCTTTCCTCAGGAGAATATGTATTAATTGATATTGCTTGCTAGAAAATATATATACATTTATACATAGCTGTGTTCATAATTGAGGGGTTTTTTTCCCAAACCTTTGTTAGGATTTTTGTATATTATAAAACTTATTTTCCTTTCTCTTAAAGCAGAGGTTCCCAAACTTATTTGGCCTACTGCCCCCTTTAAAAAAAATTATTCAGTACCTTCCTGGAAATCCACTTTTTTTAACCCTTTAGTGATTTTTAATGAAATTTGCATTATTTCAAAACATATATTTTTTTAAATGATGCATCTTAAATTTAATAATTTATTGTAAATCTGTGGGGGGTTTTCCTGCATTGAAATTTTGATGATGCAGTATATTGCATAATATAACCATATAGTATCATATTGTAAACAAGTCATCATACACACATATTCCTGCCAGTGTATGCTGGACTTCTTGACAATGTGTGACAAGCTCGCCTGTCAACACTTGCTTATTAAGACCTGTCAGCAGATTTGACCACTGATGATCATAACTTGCATTTTGTGTGTTTATTTTGAAATTTATGTAATCACTAGGACTTTAACTGTTACGCAACAGATGAAACATGTACTAACAGTTTTTCAGAATTCTCTTCTTTACTTATGCTTCCACTGCCCGCTTATTTTTATTCAATGCCCCCCAACTACACCTAAGGCTGCCGCCTTCCTCCTCCTCATTCCAGTGCCCTCCCCAGGGGGTGGTATCGCCCAATTTGGGAACCTCTGAAAGAGTCTGAGTTAACATTCATGTGTAATTTCAAGAGAAAAAACTACGCACGCTTCTGTTGGAAAGACTTGGATTCTCATCCTCCTGACAAACAGCTAACTATTTAGAGGTAGAACTGCCTGGGAAGATGCCTGCCCATATTAGTTGGCTGCTATTCTGTATGAGGAGGCAGCTAGGTGGCACAGTCAATAGAACATTGGGCCTGGAGTCAGGAAGACCTGAGTTCAAATGTGACCTCAGACGCTTAGTAGCTCTGTGATCCTGGGCAGGTCACTTAACCCCTGCTTGCATAAAACTGGAGAAGGAAACCACTCCATTATCTTCACCAAGAAAACCCCATGGACAGTATGTTCCAAAGGGTTGTGAAGAGTTGGACACACCTGAACAGCAACATTCTATAGGAGAGGTAACATGGGGTAGTGAATGGAGAGCTCACTTTAAAGCAGGAAATCTTGGCCTCAGATTAGCTGTCTCTGTGCAGACTATCAGCATACTGACGATGTGACCCCGGACACTTAGTCACTTGACTTCTCAGGCAACTCCAAGACTGTAAGTTGAAATGCCAAACTGCATGGACAATGGGAGTTTCTTCACACGGGAAGTCCCCTTACCAATGAAATGATGAGTCTGTCCCCTGTCTCTGCTATTCTATGTAGCACTGTAGCTTTAATTGATTTATGCATTCTTTTGCTTTCACTCAGGTCCCTCTTTCTCTCTAGCTCGTAGACATGGTCTCTTAACACCTTGTTAGCCAACGTTAGCATGCTAGGAAACATTCTAATCCTATGTTTTCGTTCTTTTCAACCATTTAAACACACCAAGTATCGACTTGGAAGCAGAGGCAATATCACCTTTTACTCCTCACTAATCTCCATCTTGAAATCCCAGAAAAGGAGGGAGGAGAATTCCCTGACACAGTCTGAGATGGGATTTTTTCTGGTACTAAAGCCTTCAATGGAGCGATGTCACCCCAATGTGGATGCAGGTTTGGAGGACTGCAGCACCCAGTTCCCATCTCTAGCCCTCCTGAGGCCTTGGCTGTCTGTCCAGAATATTCTTTAATAAATTTCATTTGGACATGTAGATCTTATACATGGAGTTTTTTCCTTTTCTCTTCCCCTAGTGTGAGTACTGAGTTATTGCATAATCGCTCACATTCTAAGCCCGTCGCTCCTCTTGTCTTTCTCTTTTCTAGTGCCACATTCTTTGCATGATGGGGGGCTTAATTGGGTTTCTCAGCTTTCTGTCGTCTTGTTTTTCTTTCCACTGCTTCTTTTTGTTTTGTTTTGTTTTTTAGGCAATGGGGGTTAAGTGACTTGCCCAGAGTCACACATCTAGTAAGTGTCAAGTGTTTGTTCTGAGGTCAGATTTGAACTCGGGTCCTCCTCACCTCAGGGCCGGTGCTCGATTCACTGTGCCACCTAGCTGCCCCTCTTTCCACTGCTTCTTGCTGTTTAATGTTCATCATCTTATTCTGTCCTCTTAAATAAGATTTGTATCAATGGAATTAGACTTTTAAACTGGTGTTGGTCTCGGTAGTCATCTCCTTGGCAAGAGATTGAGTTCTTGCTGGCTAAGGTGGTTTTGGGGCTCTTTTGACTTCCTTGTTATGATTGATTTACATACCCTAAAGTTGGTTCATGCGTTATTTTTGTGTTAACTCGGCCGAGGATTCCCTCTTTCTCAAATAGTACTAATATAGGGAATAGTATTACTTTGTGTAAATGTTTATTCTTCCATCCATTTCCAGGCTTTTAGCATCAAGATTTTATTCAGGTTCCTTTGGAGCTGCTTTAATTTAATGCCATATATATTGTTTGTATTTTTTCTTCTAATTTGGTTTTTATTTTTACATTTATTCTAACAAGAATTGATAGTCTGCACACAGCTAATTTGGCAATGATCCCCTTGTTGGTTAATAGTCATTTCCTCTCTGTTAAGGTAGTTTCATTTTTTGCATGATGTTATTCGTGCTCACCTTATTCACTGTCTCCAAATTCTCTCCTTGAAGAAAATAGTCATGATGTATAGGTGTGGGGTTTTTTTTTTAGCCTATTAGCCTCTTTTATTTCTTAATCTTGAGTCATATGTTCTAATATATTTTTCACTGTCATACCTTATGCCTACCTCTGTCATGAAGTCACCAAGAATTAAAGTATATGTTGAATTAGTTTGAAGGATTCTACTGAGTTCTTTGTAATATTTCCTATCTCATCCTCTGCAAGAGATGTAGAAGCATATTCTACAAATATCTTCATGATGGTCTTTTGCAAATGCATTACATAAAAACACTTCAATAAGAGATGATATCCTGTGAAATGATGTCTTTTTGTTTTCTTTGGAGACATAATAAAAACAACTCTGCTAACTCCTTTATTTGATGTTTGAAGGATAACCTATAAGCCATCTTTCCATTTAGCTATTCTTTTATCTTCTGGTTTCATTCAGAGGAAGAATGTCAATATTGATATGATTTAGTAATATGTTCATTCATTAGTCATTGAAGAATTCCAACAGTCACAGTTTTTAGGCCATCTAAAAATAATGGTTCTCTGTCCTAATTCATTTCCCCACCATTACTATGGAAGAAGAAAGGAATAGCGGTGGTCCTTCCTGTTCTTACTGATAGCCTAGTTTCTAGTTAATTACCTTTCCTAGGGAGAAAGAGACACACACACACACACACACACACACACACACACACAGAGACAAAGGAGAAAAAGACAGAGACAGGCAGACAGAGTTTTGGACAGGAAGCTGCATGACAAGACAAGACAGAGTAAGATTTTGACCACTGCCACAATTTTTTTGTTTTAATTTTTTGTTGTTGTTTTACAAACCTGCTTTCTTTTCCTTGATGGTCATGGAGAGATTTTTTTTTCCTTTCTCTGTAACCATACAGGTCACAGGAAGCCATGGGCTATTGTGACAAGATGGAAGACTTTAGCACTCTGAACTATGGCAACTTGCAAGCAGCCAAAGCCTGGGTCTGAGACTTGCTCTTTCAATGGATGACAGCAGCCAGGGGCAGCTCTCCAAATCCCCAGTACCCCAGAGATCCAGACAAAGTGGGCTTTGGGGTCAGTGTTAAGGAGACAAGTCCTGAGAACTCTGAGCTAGAAGTTTTTTTTTTTTTAATCTCATTTGATGGTGGAGCAAAGGAAGCACAGCCTTCTCTCACCTTTCCATTGCTTTCTGTTTGGTCAGGTCTTTGACCTTCTGAAGGGTTGTCACAGATTAGACCTTACACAGCCTGAGGAGCTTGTAGAAGGGGGTTTTAGGAGGTGAATGGGCAAGCAAGCACTTAAAAACCTTCCATGCATTTTACTAATGGCTGATAAACCACGTGGTCACCAAAAAGTCTATTTTCTGTGTAATGACATCAATATAGAGGGTTGGTAGCCAGCAAATTTTCCAGACGAGCAGGGTTGGGAGTGACCCAAAGATATTTCTGTGTTTTAGTAATCCTGAGCCATATGATGCCCTGAATTCATTCAGAATCCAATGATAAGAAGATTTTTCTTTGCTTAACTCTTTGAAGTTAGATGTATGTGGAATCTTTTGTGTCGTAAGGTGTCAGTCGTTAAGGCTGTCGTGTGCTGGAAATGAATAGGACACCACCTACTGGGAAGAATTATAAACTGCACTTCCTTGCTGGTTAACAGTATTTTTCATCCTTTCTGCAGACTTAGAAAAGGCAGACCAGAAGCTAGGGTTAGGCTACTGCTGAGGCACCTCAGGTGTCACCTGAGATTCTCACCAACTGCATATGGGTCAATTAATTATTAAGTTATGTACTAGATAATGCTTAGAGAGGTGGCTTCAAAGTCAGGAAGACTTGCCACATAGTGGCTTGAGTGACCCTGGAAAAGTCACTTAAACTTCTTAGAGCCCCAAGCTACTGTCTTAGACTTTAAGTCACAGATGCTGTGCAGATATGCATAGGCAGAGAATGTTCTTCACTGGGAGCTCCCTGTACAAATCACTGGTCCAGTTAAAAAGCAAAACAAAACATTCTGGGCCCTGTGCTAGGGACTAGGGATATAACAAAAGAAACACCTCTTGCCTTCAAAGAACTTAAATTTTACCACATTTGACAACATACATAACCTCATGATGAAACATGCTGTCCAACTCCAGATAGAGAGAGGTGATGGAATCAGTGTAAACTGAGGCTTTTGGGGGGGGGAGGAAACAGGGCAGTGTGCATAACTAATGTAGGAATTTATTTGCTTAATTAAATGTGTTTTGGAGCTGAAAAAATAAAATTCAATTTAAAAAACAACATGTATATTTTAAAGGAATAGCAAGTTGTACATAATAGATTTGCAGTTTAGTGTGCAATCATCTTTTTATTATACTATGTTGTGGAAATGCTTATTCCATAAATTAAAAATAAAATAAATTCAAAACAAAACAAAAAACCCGACAACATAATACACCCTAGGTGGCACAATGGATACAGTCCTAGACTTGGAGTCAGGAAGAGAAATCCTACCTCAGACACTAGTTGTAAGACCTTAGGCAAGCCATTTAACCTCTATTTGCTTCAGTTTCCTTATCTGTAAAATGGGAATAATATCACCTACCTCCCATGGTTATTGTGAGGATCAAGTGAGAATATTTGTAAAGGACTTTGCTAACCTTAAAGCATGATATAAATGTTAACTGTTATTATATGTATGTGTGTGTGTGTGTGTGTGTGTGTGTGTGTGTGTGTGTGTAAAAGTTACAAAATAAATGCCAAGGAGCTTTGGAGAAGGAGGCCCTAGTAGCTGGAGGCATCAGGAAAGACCTCATGTATGAGGTGAGCTAGAGATTCTAAGAGGCAAAGGTTAGGTGGATGTGTATTCTAGGTGTGGAGCACAGCCTGAGACAAGGCACAGAGAGGGGTGATGAAGTGTTGTGTGTAAAGAACAGCAAGGAATCTAGTTTTGCTAGTTTGTTAAAGTATGATAAGGCTGAAGCTAGGTAGTAACTGACTTTAAATGTCAAAGGAGTTTTGTTTTATCCTGCAGGTAACTGAATTATTGAGCAGAGGAGACTTGGCTTTAGGAATATCACCTTAAGTATCTCTAGAGAATGGATTAAACAGAGTAGGCTTGAGGCAGGGAAACCAATTAGGAGTTTAGTCCTCCAAAGAGGTGGTAAGGGCCTGAATTAGAATGAATGATTGAAAGAATGGTGGTACCCTGTCCCGAAGGAAAATTTCGTTAGAGGGGTGGGTGGGTTTGCAGAGAAAGAGAATGGATTCTGATTAGCTATGTTGAATTTGAATTGACACCTGGATATCTAGTTTAAAATAGGCAGTTGGTGATGTGGGATTGGAACTTGTTAGAGATGCTAAACCCAGATATGGAGCTCTGGGAATCATCTTCAAAGAGATGATCTTTGAATCTATGGGAACTGAAAGAATTCACAGAGAGACTGTAGAAAGAAGGTAAGAGCACTCAGGACGAGTCAGATGAAGATTCAGCAAAAGAAACTGAAAAGAGAGAGACAGGTAGAAAGAGACCCGAGAGAGCAGTTTCATGAAAAACCAAAGAGAGTATTCAAAAGGAGAGTGGAAGACAGTGTGAAATGCTACCGAGAAATAAGGGATGAGGACTGAGACAGGGCCATGGAATCTAGCGATTTGGAGGGATCGCTGGTCATTTTAGAGGGAACAGGTTCAATTGAATGATGAAGTTGAAAGTCAGATTGTAAGGAGGTAAGAGACAAAAGAGAGGAGAGGAAGTGGAAGCAGTGGGAAGAGAGTTTTAAAATGGGAGATAGCTTAAGGAGATGGTAGGATCAAGTCCGAGGGGTTTTGTTTGTTTGTTTGTTTCTAAGAATGGGAGAGGCCTGGGTGTGTTTGTAGGCCGTCGGAAGGAATCAGTAGACTAAAGATTAGACATGAAAAGGCTACCCCTTCATCACAGATTGGAATGAGAGAGAGAATGTCAAGGCTTTTGAGCTGTGGTCTAGGGGTCTAGGAACACTAGGGAACTAGGTGAATTTCCAGCTAGGGCAGCTAGATGGCACAGTGGGTAGAGCCCTGGGCTTAGAATTGGGAAGATTTCATCTTCGGTAGTTTCAGTTTGGTCTCAG